ATTATGATAATGGGCTTACAGATGTTCTCTCAAGGTCTTGAAAAGTGGTTGTGTGCAACAGGACACAAATGTGTAACACTCTCCCTAGATCATGTCTCAGATGATACCAGTCTGCTAAGGTCTGATCAAACGTGATGCAGCAAACGGTTTTGCTGTTTTTCTTTGCCCTCCCCCAGGAGTGATTGCTTTTGCATACTATCAGATAATTGCCTTCCCTGTAGTCAGTGCTTCACTGAAGAGCGATTACAGGAGATTCATATAAACGCAACACTGAGTTTTATTTTTCTATATCCAAGCATTTATAACTCTCTGGCTGTTTCATATATTAGAAACACACTGAAATCGCTTAAGGAAATACCATGTCTGATGCAGAAGGTTGCATCCAGGCAATATCAGTGATATGGAAGGATTGGATGTGCATAATTTGTGTCTGCCAATGTGATTACTTGAGGGATATGGAGTCTGGGTGGGATTGCGGAGAGCATGTGACACAAATCATAACCTGCAATGGAAGTGCAATGTGAATCACCAATCTACAATGCATAAACATGCCACACAAACACACAAATGAACTGAAACGTAACTCCACTGCATGCATTTCCCAGGAGAACACATGCTCACACGTCACTCTTTCTGACCACGAGATAATTGATTTGGTTTGCCTGAATATACCAGTGATGTAGATGTTTTAAAATATTTTATACGGTTTTAGGAATGATTATGAATGGACTTAATTAAATGGCACGCTAAATCAAATAATGAGAATTTGAATTCACTGTCTTCTAAGGTTGACTGTGCTTTGAAATGAATTCCCCGTATTTGGGCCAGACTCTGAATGGATTTGGATAAAGGTGACATTGCACTGGAGTGGAAGCCCAGGAACATTTTGGAATTAATGCTCTCACTGGAGTGGCTGGATCGGGCTTGATTAACCAGGACTTGAAATTGTAACAATACACCCGGACGTTAACACACATTATTTTGAAACAATTATTAAATGGCATCTGGGAAGCATTACCCCACTGATTAGAAAACATTGTCAGGTTAATCATGTTTTGTTGACCCTTGTATTTTTATATTGTTCCATTTGTGTCAGTGTTTTACATTCCTACTCCCATTGGCAATAATCAAATTAAATTTCTATTGAAAAGCCAAGGCATCGAAGTCCCATATTACGTCTATAGCAACTTAGCGAAACAAAAGTAAATTTCACTTGTGCCATTGAGGTTTGTTGACAAAAAAATACTGCCATGGACTCTGACACCACCTTGAGATTCTTTTATTTAGCAAGTTTGGAATAAAGACAAAAAGGCTTTGTGATGACCCAACTGCCCTTGAGCTGAAGCTACGCTACATTTCAATTAAAATTATTGTTTTTTTCCCCAGCATTCAGGTCATGCAAAGGGCCTTCGTGTCTTTGTGTTGTGCATTGTTGTATAGATGACTTCCAGCTAAATCCTGCACACCTCCTGAGTTACACAATATTTTTGATCCAACAAACCACTGCACTGAACAGACTTCGGTGTGGTCTCTGTCAAACCACAAACCTTGCAGACTACAAAACAACACAAGTTCAGAAGGTGGACTAGCAGCTACAGTCTGTTCACCCTTGAAATGGTGAGTCGACGAAAGGCGGGAGTATAGATTAAATCAATACACAAATCGACAATCGATTTTCTTGTAAAGGATATCTTAAATGTGACTTTAATGAGGCTGAGACGGATAGCTGGGCTTAACATTTAGCTACACTTGATAAATTAAATCTAGTGCAGCTTCTGAAAGGTTGTCAAAGATTCTCTTTAAGCATAAGGTGAAACCTGAAGTAGCTATGAAGGAACATCTTTGATAAATGTACAAGGTCCGTTTTAATCTATGCTTGGGGCTATTAGGCTGAATATCGATTGCCACTGCCAAATCTATAGAATTTCTGGGTAACACTTAACTTTGAAGGTGTACAAATAATATAGTATTATGCTCTCAGTAATGTAGTAATTAATCAGAAAATAAGTCTTATTTACTTACTGATCTCATGTTTATTCATCATTAATGAATCATGATGCATCTTTTATCTCAGGTAGCTACTGTATTTGTTCATGATTTGTACTTCAGTAGTAACTGAGTTACTACAAAGCATTTGTGCCCCGTCAAGTAAAGTGTTATCCATTTATGTTAGTGCTAAACACATACAGATTCTGGTAATAAAAATATGAATATGGTCATAGCAGCCGGTGAAAAGACAAAATAGCAAGGGACTGTTCTGTTCCAGCCCAATCTGGTTAGGAGCAAAACCATAAAGCTGCCTGCACTATTAAAAAGGGTGGTTATGCCTCAACAATTCATACAGAAATGCCGGTAAGCTGCAGCTATTGCCAAAATGTGTAAATAAGCAGAGGTGGATAGTTCGTGTCCAAAGATTTTATCTCAACCAACCAGCTGAGTATAAAAAGTCACAGAGTCCTCAGCTGGTTGGTTGAAACAAAATCTTGGTCTGGATTTTTACTTTTTTTTACTTTTTTGGACCTGAACCATCCAATCCTGCACCTCGGTCACACATCATGATGTCTGTAGGGAAGGAAAATGCCATTATTCCTCTGTTTGAGGTTTCACAGCCAAGCAACGTGTCAAGACAAGATAATTCCCTAGCTACTCAAGAGAGTCTGGGCTCCCAGATGATTCCAAAGCCTGTGAATATAACCAAGAATCCATGAATTTCAGAAGTTCTGCACAGTAATTACGCACAAAGCATTCCCGCAGGGCAGACGCAGTAGCAGAAAGTGCTGTAGGCACTCACTAATATGTGAAATTTGGCAAGGGAAGATAATTGATTGCTCTATAAAGAGCATTAAGGCACACATTCTTAAACAAAGGAGCTCTAAAATCTATTGGCTCTATTAATTTAATTAGATTAAATGCAAATTAGGAGATAATAGGGGGGGGTCCATTAACCTGTTAGGACAAACAGAATGGCACAATGGACTGATCATGTCTAATGAGGAAACAGTTCCATCATAGGCCAGGGAATTCTCATTCAGGATCCACACGGTGATCTTAGAGGCATGGCACCGTGCCGCAGTCAGTCGAACAGCTGTGTGCGAGAGAGCGAGCCGGGAGGGGGAGTATGTGTGTGTGTGTCTGTGTGTGGATTATGTATATATTACATTGTGGGGACCATATTGCCAGAGAGAGTGAGAGAGACTGTGTGAGAGAGGCACTGTACTGTATGTATGTGATATCCAATTCATGTAGCTTTACTCTGTGCTATGGAGTGTATTTCAGTTGTATATTTTGGTAGATTCCTTAACTTTCTATTAGACTGCACAATAGAGCTTATAAATTCAATTGTTACATGCATGTGTATATACTGTATTATACATAATATATACCCAATTTATTAGCTCAATACTATGAATGCGACAAGTGTAAATAGGAAATGCAATGTGCACTTATGATAAAATCCATAATGACATGCAAATGTTCCAAAAATGTCAATACAAGCCTTAGCAGAGCGGGAGACACAAAAATTACCAGCTACTCCGAGTCAGTGCTAACCATCGAGAAATCACGCAGCATCCTGCATTAATTAACAGTGCTCTGTTCCTCAAGTCTAACTGCACAGCTGTCTTTCAGGATGTTTGCCTGTCACTGGAAAAGCAAAACACCCCTTTAAAGCACATACTAATAACAAATGAGAACTAAAACGTCCCCAGCATCGGTCATTTCAAAACATCACAAACCCCTCGTGTGTCGGCCTAACCCAGACACCAGAACCAGCTGTGGTTTTCAAACATGACCAGCCTCTCGCTACCATCCAGTTTTATATTTGCATCCATTTCAAGTGAGTAGCTCTATCTGTCTGCTCACTATTCCCAGGTTCTACTTTATTCAGGCGCATCTTTTCCTCTCTGACCCAGTTTTCGCGACACGTAATGGTCAGCTTAATGATGAGGAAACACTGCAGATCTCAACTTAAAACAGCTACATCTAAGCAGTATTTTTCCCCAGTTATGTTAAGCAGATGAAAGACCTTGTGTTTCTGATTTTTAATGTGTGCATTTGTCGACACATTTCTGGAGGCATGATAGAAAAATATTTTTAAAAAGTATATAGGCAACAAGAGTGGAATGAGTACCGAAAAATCCTAAACAAGTAAAAGTACTGTTACTTACAATAAAAAAACTGAGTATAGTAAATGTACCTCGACCAAGAAACGACTGAAGAGAAAAAGAGTAGCTTATTTAAAAAGTACTCTGAGGCTAGTGAGTACTTTTAATTGTTTTCCCATAATAACACTAATTTATTAACTGAACTCACACATTGTAATTAACCTTCTAGGAATATTTTAATTTTGACTGACAAAGCAATAAAAATGCCTTTCAAACATAAAAATATAATACATAATCGTTAATCAACGCTATGTGTTTCACTACAGCATTTTATGTGCTTAGACTTGCGTTTGAATGCAGCGTCAAAAGGGTGATCCAGATTTCATTGATATGCACTCCGACGCATTTCCAAAGAGCATCCTGCCAAAAACTAATCCATTTTTTTCAAACTAATTTGAGGCAAATGAAACAATATCCAAATGTGCTATTGTGCTCAAAATTCATTTTGTATTCCCCACTCCCTCCCTACATCAACCAAAACCCGAACACCATCACTCCCCTCTGTATTTACCCTAGCCCAGAAAGCAATCACCCAATACGAACACCTCACTTTACCACTGCTATTAAAGTTCATAAACAAAACACTGACATTTTACCATATGTGCTATAACAAGCTTACTTTTGTAACATTGCTTTAATAGCTGAAACATAAATCAATAAACTCATGATTGTACAAACTATACAGTATGAACCAGAGGCACATATAGTATTACAGTACATGCAAATGGTTAATGTATAAGAACATAGAAAATAATGAGCAATGCGCAATAAAGTGTAGATGATCTGAACGTGGGTTTTACCCTCAGGTAGAATAATCTGGTATGTTCTCATACTCACATTAATGCGGGCCTCCAGCAACTTGTAGTTTTTTTATTATCAGCATACATTGATAAGGCTGGCTATGGCAAATGAACAGTCCAATCGCTGTCGATTGAGTCAAAACAAGGAAAGAACATGAGCCGATAAAATCAGTAAGCTCGGGAAGTAGCGAACACACTAATAAATAGCAGAGTAAAATAGCAGAGAATTTTAAACTACTTCTAAAGTAATAATTCTGGAAAAAAAACTACTGTATTTTCACTAACGAGTGGATATGTAGCTTGCTACTTTACACCCCTACAAGGCAAAAACCTGATCTCGCGATATATCAGGAAGACAAACTGACACATTAACCCTGATCTCGCGATATATCAGGAAGACAAACTGACACATTAACACCCCACGCACATAGGACCATCAGTGCGTGTGTGAGATTAATTACGACGCTTCAATGTATGCTAATGATTTCAGGTTTTCTTTGCATAATATGTGCAACTACACCAACACTAAGCCACTCAAGCGTGGCAGCAGAAATATTCATCATTATTAATCACTCTTCTTTTCACCAGTATATTACACATCTCTGGAAAAAAATGCCTCCTAATTATGCGGTGGTTTATGTAAGTTTGAGTAATAAATTTCCAATTATTTCTGCTGGTGTTGTCATTGTTGAGCAGCAATTTGTTTAAAACGCACTTATTATCTTCCGTTTCCTTGGGTGGTATTAGTTTCACGTATGTACTCCTCGTTAAAAAATAAAGCAAACAATGTTATGGTCCCTAATACTGCTTTTCAGTAAAAAACATAAAATCATTAGCAAGAACAAAGGTCCATATACATACTTTTCCATCCATCCATCCATCCTCTAAGCACTTATACACTATTAAGGGGGATCTGGAGCCTATCCCAGACAGCACGTGCAGGGCACAAGGCTGGGGTACATCCAAAATCAGATGCCAGTTTATTGCAGGGCACATATACACACTCTAAAATATCCATTTGCAATTTATGGTGCTTTTCCACTGGCATAAGTAAGAGTTCAGGCTATAACCCAACCCGCACCGCAACGGTTCCAGCTCCCTTTGAATTTCCACTGCAAAAGGATCGGCTAGGTAAAGGCTTGACCTGATTTGGAGAGCAACAGTGACGTAAAATATTTACTGTTCACAAGATATAGATCGTGATTTACTATGTGCTAATTTCCGCTAACAGTGGGCAGGCTAAATACGTCCGTTCACACCCGGTATTAACATGCGTTTCCGCAAGCGACTGAGCTGGCCGCTTGTAAACGAATCGCATTTTATATAAATAAGCACGTAAATCACTTGCGTATGTAGATTCTGCTGAACATTAAAAGAAGTCAAAAGCTATTTGCCCATTTCGGAGTAACCATCCAACCTAAAATGTTTGTATGAAACGTCACAATACTCCAAATGCAATAAATAAAAATATTTATAAACGAATAAATAAATATTTCAATAATGTTACCCTTTAAATAACCATGACAGGTAGGCCTATTATATTTCATAATGTTTGTCTTCTACGTATAATCTTTAAATTCTATTCGTAATAACGTTGTACGTGATTTTCATTAGCCTAGTTAGTTATTACTATAAAACACTATTTGGCATAATGCAAATATGACTACTTAAAAAAATCTAAAAGCAAAGCTCTCGATCTATTGGTCCATCTTTGTCCCTACCCTCACCTATGGTCATGAGCTATGGGTAATGACCGAAAGAATGAGATCGTGAATACAGGCGGCCGAAATTAGGTTTCTCCACAGGGTGTCTGCATGAGCTCTCCCTTAGGGATAGGGTGAGAAGTTCGGACATCCGGGAGGGCCTCAGAGTAGAACCGCTGCTTCTTCACGTCGAAAGGAGCCAATTGAGGTGGTTTGGACATCTGGTGCGGATGCCTCCTGGGCGGCTACCCGGAGAGGTTTTCCGTGCATGTCCTACAGGGAGGAGGCCCCGGGCAGACCCAGGACTCGCTGGAGGGATTATATCTCTCGGCTGGCCTGGGAACGCCTCGGTGTCCCCCCCGAGGAGCTGGTGGAGGTAGCTGGGGAGAGGGAGGGCTGGGTGCCTCTCCTGAAGCTGCTGCCCCCGCGACCCGAACCCTGGACAAGCGGTAGATGATGGATGGATGAAAAAAAATCTAACTATATTTCATAATAAATGTCATGACCTGCTCGTTCGATCCTCCTGTGTGCCACGCCCCCCTGCTTGTTTTGTGTATTTTAGTCTGCGTCTGAGTGAGTTTCCCCAGATCCGTCAGTGATGTTAATTAGTTGCCGTCTGCCCTGTTCGTGAGAATAAAACCCTTTTTGCTTTTAGATTTTCGTCTGCCTGTTTTGTATTTCCCCGCTTCCTGCCTGCTCGCCGGACAGCTGTCATTACAATAAAGTTCAACTTTTCACATTGTAGACATGCGTTTTTATACCGCGTTAACACAATACAATTGTACGTGTTAAAAAAATCTTTCAGTACTAAGTACTAGGGCAGGCTAATACTTTTTTTATTGAAAATCAACCGGTTGGTTGCCAAATGATAATATTTCGACTTTTAATCATAACCAGTGAAGCTCAAAATTTGTGAAAATTTGAACGAAAAGGTTCATTGTTTCACTGGAGTGAGACTATAATTTCTGACCAGGAGTTCAACCCCCTGTACAGTTCAATATAAAACCATATAAACAATTACACTATAATTATTCTTTATTTCTACTTACATATACATTTACTAAGCTACTTAACGCACATTATTACCTACGTGCTTTAATTTTACGTTCATGTAATTTTTCCGGCAAGTATGATCTGAGCAAATTCCAAAACATTTTTAATTATTCACTTCATACGCAATTTATTTTTTCCGAATTTGCACGAAATATTAATGATGCGCATTTTTGACAAGGTTTCCATGCGAATGGGTCGCAACAGTCCAACATTAAACCAGCTTCCCAGCAGATAATTAATATTTATTTTTTGGTGTTATAGAAAAAAAAATGCGTTATTCACAATGCAGTTCAGTACACAGTGGCCGATTCTGCACTGACTTACGTTCTGGCACAAATCATACGTCAAACACCATTTGCACATTTAATGAGTACTTATGTACTTCCGCTCACACAAGGACGTCGGTTGAGTAGGTGGTCCTTCAATGCCGTCACATATTGTGTCTATATGCGTCCCAGACCACCTCTGAATGTGGTCTGAGGGATCTAATCTCAATGTGTCTTCAATGCATTTTTGGTGAATTCACACCTGTAATTGGTGCCATCCACTTGTGATCAGATCACCCAGGATGCATGTTAATACCAGGTGTGAACAGGGCCTCTGTGCATTTCAGTCAGATGGCGGTGACACAAGCAGCTCGGTTTAGTCACGTTTTTGGCCCTGCTAGTAAGCAGAGCCGTGTCAGCACCGGGTCTGGGGCAGCTCTCCTAATTTAGAATGGAAAACCATCTCTTCGTGGTTTGGCTCAAGTACAGCTTGGTTCTTGATGGCAGTGGAAAAGCACCATTAAAGACATCAGTTAGCCTAGCTGCATAGCTTCGGAATGCAGAGGAAACCAGAGTACCCAGGGGAATCCCTGGGAGACACAGGAAGAACATGCAAAGTCCACACACACACAGCGGGGGTGGAAATCGAGCCCCACACCCTGGGGGTGCAAAGCAACAGTGCTGCCTCTATGTATAATCTTAATACTGCATAGGACTTGATGTCATTCATGAATACAGTTGAAACTTCCAGCCCTGGAAACCTGCCTTGAAGGATCACCAACTTACAATGGTTTGGGGTTCTGTTTTTATCATTGAAAGGGGGGGGGGTGAGGAATACCAGCAGATTCTTGAGATATGCAAGCCGCATCTCGGCACTCATCAAGAATGGCTATGCCTGGGCTGGGTTCCTCCTGAGAGAGACATATTCTAATTATGAAGAAATATGAACGGGAGAGGGACTGTCACTGCTCTCCAAATTTCATTTTAATTAATCTCTGGCACAAATCAGCAGCTCGGCGACACGTGACACATTGTGACCCAGAAGTAGATCCAATTTTGTGTCTCAACAGGCGTTAAATTAGTGAGAACATTTTCGCCATCGTCACCTTTGCTCTCTTAACAAATGGAGTACATTTGGGCATGTGACATCACGGCAGGCCGGCAAATTACCTGCCCCTGTAAATGCGGGAGACGGGGGAAGCCGGGTATTTTATTTGGCGGGGTTACATTTGGAGGCTTTGGACAAGCATGGGAAGCAGGCTAGGCAAAACTGGGAAGACTGGGAAATTACCCTGGCAGTAAACGCCTCTGCTACATCTGTACAATGTACTAGGCCAATGTTTCCCCACCCGGTCCTCGGGGAAACATATCAGGTACATGTTTTTGCTCCCTCTCAGCCCCCTACCGGTTGCAAAAATGTGGACCATCTGTGTTGGAGAATAAGTGTTGAATTGTTGGGATGCTTTCAGTTTGGAATGCAGTTAACTGTGAGTTAAGTCTGTTAACTGTGAAATAAATTCATTAATATGAGGTCATATCAGTTATGTGACTTTCCTCTGGGTTCTCCAGGTTCTTCCCCTTGTCCAAAGCCATGCAGACAGGCTAACTGGTGTATGAAGTGGCATCCCATCTAGGGTACACCCCTGTGTTGGCAGAGATGAGCTCCAAACCTCACTGTGACCCTGTCCAGGATAAGTAGCTGGCAAATGGATTGCTGGATTGGTGCATTATGTTAAATAACTTTGTAAGAGTTAGTAAGTTTACAATTAATGTATTATTAAGCTGCAGTTGGTATCTTGGGTTGTTCCCTGTCTTGTGTTATAGATTCTGGGATAAGGTTTGATCCCCTGTGACCCTGCATAGGACAAGCAGGTATAGAAAATGGATGGATACATTATTAAAATTACACAAAAATGAATTACAGCAGCATAAAATACAATAAACAAACAATTATTTAAATATAAAATAAATCTGTAAGTTCTTGTGGTAGCATTTTATTCTTCCAGTTCCATAGTGTTAAATCTGTTCAAGGTGCTTTAAGGAATTTGGAGTGAATCTGGTATATAGACGGTAATGAATGAAGCAGGATGAATTTTCATTGGATCACTCTTTCCATTCAGTTCTGCTCTGACACTTTAAATCTGTCCCTTTCCAGCAGGGGAGACTTGGCACATTTGCATAGCAATTATTTAAGCTCAACTATCTCCATGACTGGGCTGTTGGGCGTTAAAAAAAAAAGTGATTGACTGGCGAAGTCCTTGTGCCCGTCGATTGCGTCTCAGTCGTCGTTAGTCTGCTGGGGAGTCTAGGAGAGGTAGCACCTCGATGGGGCGTCTACAGCCTCGA